TATCCAAACTGGCCCTTTTTATAGTTTAGTATGGCCTATATGAGACACAATGGCTCATCTGTGGCAGAGGCGCAAAATGGCATACAGAGAGTTGACATTTGGTAGGATATGTGTCCTATCACTGAGCACTATTTAAGCATTGAAGAAAGCAGATTTGAATTAGCTGACTAGGGAGCAAATTATCTTAACTCTATAAGCAATATCAAGGGGGAGGAGAGCGCATGGACAGGTTTTCCTCTGTCCCAAGTTACAGAGCACTTTTGAGTTCAGATTATTAAATAAAAAGAAGGAAAATCTTAAGGGAGCAAGTAGAGGTTTATTTTCAATAAAAGCATTCTGGCTTAGATTATTATTCATGCTTATATCTGTAGAAATATCTTTTTTAGGTATTTGGGAAATGTGACATCTTCAGGGAACCTTAACTTCATTATAGACAGATAGGAAAAGCCTCACGCTTGTAGGCCCTTGTTTTCATGGGTGACTTCAACCACCCTGACATCTGTTGGAAGGACGGTACGGGCCGGCACAAGCAATCCAGGAGGTTCCTCAATTGTGTGGAAGACAACTTCCTTCTGCAAATAATAGAGGAGCTGACAAGGAGAAGTGCCGTGTTTGACCTCCTGCTCACCAGCAGGGAACGGCTCGTTGGAAATGTGATTCTCCAGGGCAGCCTTGGTTGCAGCGATCACGAGATGCTCGAATTTGAGATCCTCAGGACAGTGAGAAGAGCGTGCAGCAAGCTCACTGCCCTGGACTTCAAAAGAGCAGACTTTGGCCTCTTCAGGAACCTGCTTAGGAAGGTTCCCTGGGATATAGCCCTAGAGGGCAGGGGGGCCCGAGACTGTTGGTTGGTATTCAAGGATCACCTGCTACAAGCTCAGGAGTGTTGCATCCCAACCAGAAGGAAGTGCAGCAGGAGGGCCAGAAGACCTCCTTGGATGGATAAGGAGCTGCTGAGGAAAATTCAAATGAAAAAAGAGGCTTATAGAAGGTGGAAGCAAGGGCAGGCAGCCTGGGAAGAATACAGGGATGTTGTCTGGGATGCTAGGGACTGGGTTAGGAAAACTAAGACCCAGTCAGAATTAAACTTGGCTACGGATGTGAAAGATAACAGGAAGGGATTCTACAGGTACATAGCAAATAAAAGACAGACTAGGGACAATGTGGGCCCTCTCCAGAAGCTATCAGGAGAACTGGCTACACAGGATTTGGAGAAGGCTGAGGTTCTGAATGACTTCTTTGCCTCAGTCTTCACTGGCAAAGGCTCGGATCACACCACCCACATCTTGGAAGGCAGATGCAGGGACTGTGAGAATGAAGACCTTGCACCCACTGTAGGAGAAGAACTGGTTCGAGACCATCTTAAGAACCTGAACGTGCACAAGTCCATGAGACCTGATGAAATCCATCTGCAGGTCCTGAAGGAGCTGGCAAATGAAGCTGCGAAGCTGCTGGCCGTCATATTTGAAAATATGGCCATCATGGCAGTCAGGTGAAGTTCCCAACAACTGGAAAAAGGGAAATATAACCCCCATTTTCAAGAAGGGGAAAATGGATGACCTGGGGAATTACAGACCAGTCAGTCTCACCTCCGTGCCTGGCAAAATCTTGGAGCAGATTCTCCTGGAAGGCATGCTAAGGCACATGAAAATCAACAAGGTGCTTGGTGACAGCCAGCATGGCTTCACTAAGGGGAAATCCTGCCTGACCAATTTGGTGGCCTTCTATGATGGGGCTACACAACTGATGGACAGGGGTAGAGCAGTTGATGTCATCTACCTGGACTTGTGCAAAGCGTTTGACACTGTCCCACACGACATCCTTGTCTCTAAATTGGAGAGACATCAATTTCATAGAAGGACCACTCGGTGGATAAAGAATTGGCTGGATGGAGCACGCAAAGAGTTGTGGTCAATGGCTCAATGTCCGGCTGGAGACCAGTAACGAGTGGTGTCCCTCAGGGATTGGTGTTGGGACCGGTCTTGTTCAACATCTTTGTCACTGACATGGACAGTGGGATTGAGTGCGCCCTCAGCAAGTTTGCCGATGACACCAAGCTGTGTGGTTCGGTTGATACGCTGGAGGGAAGGAATGCCATCCAGAGGGACCTCGACACGCTTGTGAGGTGGGCTGATGACAACCTCATGAAGTTTAACCATGGCAAGTGCAAGGTCCTACACCTGGGTCGGAGCAATCCCAGGCACAGTTAGAGGTTGGGCAGAGAAGAGATTCAGAGCAGCCCTATAGAGAAGGACTTGGGGGTGTTGGTCGATGAGAAATTGAACATGAGCCGGCTTCAGTGTGTGCTCTCAGCCCAGAAAGCCAACTGTATCCTGGGCTGCATCAAAAGGAGCATGACCAGCAGGTCGAAGGAGGTGATCCTGCTCCTCTACTCTGCTCTTGTGAGACCTCACCTGGAGTATTGTGTGCAGTTCTGGTGTCCTCAACATAAAAAGGACATGGAACTGTTGGAACAAGTCCAGAGGAGGGCCACGAGGATGATCAGGGGACTGGAGCACCTCCCATATGAAGACAGGCTGAGGAAGTTGGGGCTGTTCAGCCTGGAGAAGAGAAGGCTGCGTGGAGACCTCATAGCAGCCTTCCAGTATCTGAAGGGGGCCTGTAGGGATGCTGGGGAGGGACTCTTCATTAGGGACTGTAGTGACAGGACCAGGGGTAACGGGTTAAAACTTAAATGGGAAGTTTAGACTGGATATAAGGAAGAAGTTCTTTCCTGTAAGGGTGGTGAGGCACTGGAATGGGTTGCCCAGGGAGGTTGTGAATGCTCCATCCCTGGCGGTGTTCAAGGCCAGGCTGGACAGAACCTTGAGTGACATGGTTTAGTGTGAGGTGTCCCTGCCCATGGCAGGGGGGTTGGAACTTGATGACCTTAAGGTCTTTTCCAACCCTAACTCTTCTATGATTCTATTATTGTTTTCAGCAGGCCTTTGGAAGTCAAAATCATTCATCTCAGAGGCAAAATTTTTTGTGTTCTGTGAATTTCTGTGAGGTCCATTGAAAAGGCAACTGCTGGGAACTACCACAGCTTTTCCCATGTTGGTTTACTCAGGAAAGGTCAAAGCAATCTGCCAATACAGTAATTGGACAATATCACCTCTTTAAAGACCTGAGTACTCACTGACACTAGACCAGTAATAGGCGGTGAAGTATTAGGAGAAACTGCCCAGCAAAAGCAGGATGAAATTTCTGGGCTAGATTTAAAAGAGAAGAGGGTTAGGAAGGCTTAGTAAAACAAGTAAACCTGATTTTTTCCAGCTCCAGGATCTGGACCTACTACTTAATGCCTGACATGATACCTCCACTCTGAAGCTGACAAAATAAATGCCTGCAATGACAGCTTGTGTTACTGGATAAATGGCAAGAATCAGCATTTCTTGATGCGTGACACAGGGGGCTGCTCTCCTCTGGCTTTTTTCTCCTTAGAAAAACAAGCCAGGACATTCGATTCCCTATGCCCCAGTTATTAAATAGTGTCATGTAAGGTACAGCGTCAGTTCCTGATGCATTAGCAAACAGCAGATTTAAGAGTCTCTGGGTGATCTTTTTTTGTCCCTCCCCATGTGCATGTGTTTTCTTACAAACCCTTCCATGACACAGTCATATTTTAGACTTTCCCACAGGATGCATGCCTCATTCTGTACAACACAGGATAATCACACCCACTGACAGAAATAAATTAGCATAGCAATCTTAATCTGGTATTTCCTAATTTTCCTAATTTCCTTATCCTTCAATGTTCGGCTGTGCTAATCTAGACAATATTCTTCTAATGTAATTTTTTAATGTTATAATTTAAATAAATGTATGCACATTTGTGCATCTCTCCATCTATGTGGATCTGTTAATGTATTGGTAAACACAAAAGAAAAAGATAAAAGCTGTTTGTTTTTAATTCTTTCAGAACTGTTTGATCTCTCTTTGCTTGTTTTAGCAGCTGCCTGACTGTTTTTCCTCATATGTAAACTTCAAAGTCAATCAGAGGTCAAAACTCTGGACAAAGACAGAATAACGAAAACAAGTGACTGGCCTATGTGATGGGAAGAAGCGAAGGAGCTGGGTTGTAGAATATTGCCTGTTTCTGGACATGGCAGGGGGTGAAATTATCTGCCTCTTGCACATAGCATTTCTTGATCTGAACATTTGGAGTAGTTGAAGCCTGTGTACTTGCTTGGAAATCTATCTTACCAAGAAATGAAGGACACAGCCATGTACTGGAGGACTTGACATTCTCTGGCTATTCTTGGTTCAAGCAATCTGGAAATAGCTTTATAGATTATTGTAAAAGTGCTGGAGAAAAACAGCCTTTTACTGGTTTCTGTTGAAAGCAGAGACATTTAGGGGTGGGTATAAGTTTTAACTCCGAGTTTGTTATTTACTATTTCTGGTTATAGGAAAATCAACAGAAAAGCAAGACACAGAGAGGCAGCTTCTGTGGCAGAAGCTATGTCAGGAGCATTTTATGTAGGCATGTGCAGTTGTGGTACAGCATGTGTCTGGAGTTCACGCCCTTTTTATTTCCTTTGAGAGAACATCTGCCTTCCCCTCCTTCATCCATCTGCAGAATCAGGCCCCTGCTTGTGGAGAGCCCAGCAGAGGGCCACAAGCAAGAGAGTCCCCGAGGCAGGGGTTGTAGCAGCGCCTGGCAGCTGGGGAAACAGCCTGCAGGGATTGGGAGCACCTTTGTGATTCACACCTCCTCGCGGCAGCTCCTGCCAGCAGAGCTGCTGGAGGGGCCCCAGCAGAGGCAGAGGTGCATTCCACCCTATACAGACATATGTATATGGTGTGTATATATATAATATTTAAAAATATTATATCCTATATAGTATGGATATACTATATATACTATTATATACTATAATATTTAAAAATATTCAATATATAATATTTTAAGTATTATATAGCATATATAATACAATAGATTACATAATATAGAATTATAGTAAAATATGTATTATATGTTATATATAAGGCCACGAGTCCTCAGATTTTGTACAGATATTTAGATTAGGTATTAGGAAAAAATTCTTCACTATGACGGTGGTGAGGCACTGGCACAGGTTGTCCAGAGAAGCTGTGGCTGCCCCACCTCTGGCAGTGTTCAAGGCCAGGGTGGACAGGGCTTTGAGCAACCTGCTGTATTGGATGGCGTCCCTGCCCATGACAGGGGGTTGGAGCTGGATGACCTTTAAGGTCCTTTCCAACACAAACCATTCTGTGATTCTATGATTCTATGAATTTGTGTAAATGACCTATGAGCATAATCTGTTCTGAAAATAATAATAAAAAAAAAGTCTTTTCCAGTTTAACCAACAGGGAGGATGGAAATGGACCAGTGCTACCCTTATATGCAGAATGCATCTCCCCTAGTCTTCCTTGCTAAGGAAGTTAATCAATCCTAAATTGTGGATACCTTCTGCTTTTCCTATAGAAGGCTTCAAAATATGTGTTTTGCACTATATGGCCAGAACCAGGTATCCGTGAAGCCATAAATGTAAGAAGCCCCTCAGAAGTGTAAATTGTGAGCAATATTACAGGGGGTCTGAAAATGCCAAAGCAAACACAGTATCCCTTTTGCAGGATACTGGTGACAAAAACATCAATTAAAATACAAATTAAATAATTTTAAGCCTTTGCCCTAAATAGATTAGCTTGTATTTTTTGCTCCTTCCACTCCCACAAGAAAAAAAATCAAATTATTAATTTAATGCCCAGGTTCTTGTTAAGCTAAAAGCCAGGCTGTGAACCCTGGGGCTGCAAGCTGTGCTGAGCAAGACTGATCTAGAAGACACAAGAAAGACAATTTATTGCTTGGGGAAGCAGACAAATTTTTCCCAACTGCATGAATAGCAGCAAGAGGTGTAGCCCATCACTGGGTGGGAAAGAAGCTGTGACTGGACTTCCCCGAGGCTTGTAGGGTGGTAAATGACTAAGAGAGTGGCAGGAGGAACTATTATAGACCTGGCTGTCTGGTGTGATAAGAGCACACCTTTCTTCCACTGTGGGCCTCCCTGCAAGGGCTAAGAAGAATTAGAGACTTGAAACTGCTCCTAATTCAAGGAATATGTTTAATGTGTGGCTTACTGTCCCTTGACCAGAAGCAAAATTATTCTCTATAGCTTCTCATTCAGTGCTTTTTTCTACATATTTTAAGGCCACTGAACATCATTCTTTCCCTTAATTAGCTTCTCACCAGTTTGGTTTTTTTTTTCCTCTGAGTGTTAATTTTCAGATGTTTCAATTAGTTTTGCAAGAATCAAAGTTCTACTCACTTTTTCTTTCATGGCTAATCACCACAGATCCAACTCATCTCTGATGTTAATACCAAAGTGAAGAAGAAGAAAAATAAACCAGCAAGAAGTCAGTGTGAGAAAAGAAAGAAAAAGTGTGAAGTATATCTGAAAAGCCACCTAGGAAAGGGATTTAAGTGGTGCAAAGAGAAGCTAAAGGGATGCAGGAGAAAGCAGCTGGGAAACAAAAGGAGAGAGACAGCTGGAACAAAGCAAGCTGTGGCAGCCCTACTGGGAGGAAAGGGAAGTAGGGTCAGGAATGGAGGGGGGGAGATGATGTTTGGTCTTTAAATGGAGGATGAAGAGCTTGAAGTGAGGAGTTAAGAGACAGGAAGGAAGCCAGTGAAGGCAAGTTAAGAGTGGACGGTGATATAGTTTATGTAGTGAGGAAAAGATTACTTGAGCAGTAGAGTTGGGCACCATGTGCTGATGGACTGAATAATGTATTATCAGCTTGAAGCAGTGGTCATGATTCTTCAGGAGAAGACCTAGAAAAGAATACTGAGGCTTATTTTTAATCCTTTTTTAACCCTGGGTCTCTCCATATAAAGGATGAGTATTGTGTTGCCCTGAGCACTAAGTGAAGTGTGCTGTGTTTTGTGCATTGTCATTGATTCTAAATGCTTTTTGTGTTTGGGGGCTCTGAAAACAAAGGTCAAGTACTAGCAAATTCTGTTTTATGTGAGAGATTTAGTTAAATCCTAAGGACAAAGGCAGACTACTAGAAACAGCTATTGAGTGTGAAAGTTGTGTAAATCTGCATTACCATTTCTCAATATCAGTTTTTACACAGGTTTGTAATTTGGGGTTTTTTGAGGAATGACAGGGGAATAAACTTCAGAAAAATCAAGATAAGTCTCACAGATGTTATTTTCGGCATGTAAAGTAGTTGTCCAGTAAATGCTTGGAAAGAGATTCCAGGAAACGAGTAAGGAAACACACAGAGTAGGATGGAACAATTTCTGAATATAGTCCTGGTCATAGTATTCTAGTAAGTGTAAATTGCAGGGCTTGGAATGGACTGCGCTGCCTAAGATTTTCTCATCCATTATGGACAATAGCAGCAAACCAGAGTTTCAGCAATTAATAGCTCACTGCTAATCACAAATTCCCGATGAATAACCTGAGCAAATTGCTCTGCTGCAGAAAGCGCAGGAGTCAGTGACTGGAAAATATTTTTTCACTTGTTCAATATTGAGACATTACTGTATTAGCCTGCTGTGCTTTAGAAAGTTTGAATTTTGCCATACCAACCCATCTTTTTCTTGTTTAAATAACAAGAAGAAAAGTAATATATTAAGAAAAGCCAAGTTACTGAAACTGAATGCAGCTAATTTACTGACAGGTAGAAACCAGGAGATACCACATAGCTACTCCATTTCAATGCACACTGATCCTTCCACTTAACAGGTGATAAGGAAAGAATTTTTGTTTAGCTGGTGATAAGGCAGTGTGGATCTGCCTCTGAAGAAAAGAGGATCATCTTATAAATCTAGCTGTCCTAGTGAATGAAGTTGGAAGATAGAGAGGATGAAGTCATACATCTACGGAAGCAAGAAACCATTCAGTTTGCTCCCAGTTTTGAAACTATGTATGAGTAATGCAGCTCCTTCTCCCAGTGTAGGATTCAATGTACAGGAAAAGTCTCACAGACAGTGGGTCTAAAACCAGACACATCGGAATATGCCACAAGCGAGGAAAGGCTGGGGTCCCAGAGGTGTGGTGAGTATCACATTCCAGTGCCCTGAGTCCCCCTGGGTAATTACCCTTCCAAAGCATAGCTTCACCTCCCTGCAGATGCAGGGGGAGATGTATTCCACAGGCGGGCAGGCCCGTGGCTGCCAAGCTGGCATGCAGGGCTTTGGGGGTCACAGTGAACCCACTACATTTTACCTGGAAGCTAACCAACAGCTGGCACAGACTCACTAGCCCCTATCTGTTCCACCAAGATGCTCTCTAGTAAATAAGCTGTTGTGCCATGCCAGGGTGGTCCTTTCCTACAAGCTTCCCACACAGCTCAGCACCTCTGTGCAAAGACATCTTGCAGACATCCACGCCGACAGACATGACTCATTTTGGGGAGTCTGCGTACGCGGTTTTGCAATAGTCTGATCAGGACATGAAAAAAGACAGTAACAAAGTATGTGCTCAGACTAATCGCTGATCATCTCCCCCACCGCACAAGGCCAACATTTCTCCCCTTGTCTTCCAGTGGTGTGGCATTACTTCCAATGCATCACAGATGGCTCCCTCTCAGACTAAGTCCAGTCCCAACAAGCCCAAATGAAAGGCGGGATTGCATGGCTCACGTCAAACAAGAAGGGGGGACTTCAAGCTGACAAGACACAGAGCGCACACCCTTCTGGTGGGGGATGCTCCGGGTGTGGGTTTGCAAAACTGATTTAAAGATGGTTGCAGTTCCAGCTGTCTGAGTGATAAGACTGTGATGTTCCAGTGCCTTTTTAGGAATGAGTCAAGAAGGAAATAGTAACAGCTAACCAAAAATAATCATGTGGTCATCAAATAGTAGAAATACTGGCCACAAGACATTCCTGATGTATTTACCAGCCGTGCAGATAACATCAGTGACCACTGCCTGTTATAATTACGTGATTTTTTATAATTGGATGGATTTCTATTTGCTACTCCTGTATTCAAATTACTGAAACTACAAGTACTATATCCAAACTATTACAGAACCTGGGTTTGTTTCAGTGAAAAGAGTCTTGCGATTATCCAATTTGAAGTAGTTCCCAGCACTCCTTTGTGGTAGCCATGCCATCATTTTCCTCACGTACAACAAAGGTAGCAGCATTGTGCTGCCTGTGCTGTAAAATGCCCACAGCAATTCAGACCATGTCTGCATAGCGCTCAGCAGATGTGATGGTGTAATCCAGCTGGTTGAAGAACAGCTGCATGGAGCTGCGGCAACATGGCCTTTGGAGCCTGGGCAGGTAACATACTGGTTAGTGGAGGCTGATTTTGCCACTGTGGGTACCTCAGCTAGCTGGCTAGGAACTAGGTTGGGTAAAACTGGAGGTGTGGAGTTGTAAGTCTCTTTTCTGCACATTTACAGGCAAAAGGACAAGCTTCTGGTCTTATGACCTGGGGCTAGCAGGCAACTCAGGTTTGGGTTAAGAGGATGCAACCACTGCAACTTCAGCCAGCTGAATTACATGTCTGTCAGTGTGGTGTGGACATTGCCATGGGCATTTTACAATGCAGGCTGCTGCCTTCATAGGACTGTAAAATGATGGCACGGCCACTGCAAAGGAGTGCTGTGATCTACATAAAATTAGGTAAACAAAAGACCTTTTAGAAGCACAGAATGTTTTGTGTTGGAAGGGACCCTAAAGAACTTCTGGTTCCAACCACCCTGCCATGGGCAGGGATGATATTCATTACAACAAATCCAAACTCCATAATAATTTGGAGTACTTATAGTGTCAGTAATTTGCTTAAAAATTAGTCTATGGCAATAGTGGAATAAGTCTAGTTCGGACTTACTCCATAGTTTCACCAAAGCTTGGCACACAAACAGGAGCAAGAAATTGCAGAAGTGTAACAATATAACCCTTTACAAGCATTGCTTTTGCGTACACATTCACAGCTATGTTTTCATTTGATGAGACTCTTGAAGGACAGCTTGGCTTGCCATACTACCTCTCGTTTCTATGGTAAAGGTGCTAGAACATTGGCCGGAAGCAATTTGGAAGCGTTTGTACAGCCATGGACCATGAATGAGTAATCACCTTGTACTTTTTTTAACCCAGTGCTTCACAGAGCAGCCTCATCTATTCTTACAGTGCACTTTGATGTGTCAGGAGTGTCATTACAAATCTACTGTGAAGAAATGAGCAAACACGAATTTTCATGAGATCGCAGCACAGCCCTGGACAGAGGATTTTGAATGTATTTCTCTCCTTTAATAAAAAGGCTCTCTCTGATGCAGTCACCCCAGAAAGACTACAGATTAAATGTAAGAAACACAAAACCAAGCTCTACAAATATTTTAGAGCGTTTTTAAGCAATTCTTTTTCTATCTACTTGCTTCCTTTGTATTTCCAAGCTCATAGCAATACCTGTTATCCACACACTCATCCACCCCACATATTAAATGCACTGTTGTACCTAGAGGGAAATCCCACAATTCATCTCCACATCTAGTAATACCCCTGACAGAGTTTGCTGTGGATTTTGCATTATATGCAGACTGTGCTGGGTTTGCAGGGCTGAGACCCTGCACAGTGCTGAAGAGTTTGTGGCACCATCAGGTATGCAGAAAGCTCTCCTAACCTGTGCCAGGCACCAGCAGCTGCTCAGAGGCAGCTCAGGATGATCCTGCCATTCTCCCTCGTGGAGAAGGGGCTATATTTGCCTCTGTGGAAGAAGTAGGCAGAGGAGTTAGCTCCTTTTCCCCCCTCTGCCTAAAAACTCACTATTGAGAAGGTAGCACATTGGGTCTAACACACTTTTACAATGGATCTCAGTAAAAGGCCCATCCCTGTCCTTTAGTTTGTCCCTTTGTCAGGTTATTTTTGCTCTCATCAAATTAGGAGTCTAAGTGCCCCCTTCTCTGTTTCACGCCAGTTTAAGGCATTTCCTCTGACTTGAAGTAATAATAATAACAACAACAATAATAACAATACCAATAATAATAACAATGATAACAAGAAGAATAATGATGAATAATAATCATAATAAAGAAGCACAATAATGGGGTAAGACTGATATAAAATTGCCACCTTCCAAGTATTAAGAGTTGAATTACCCAGGAGACTCGAATGGCATTTTGCAACAGGAAGTAGGAAGTTTGGTGTCTTTTATCTTCCAGGAGAGGAGGGAGAGATTAACCCTTTGATTCTAGACCTGAAACAACTTGCTCACACTTTCATACATGTAGTTTTCTGTCTATGATCATACCTATAAAACTTCCATTTCTGGATTTTGGGTTGCTATGGCAGAACGAAATCAGAATTATAATAAAAATTAATTCTAAATCCTCTCTGTCCTTTTAAGACTAGACTCTCTCAAAGCTTACAGGTGTGCTCTAAAAGTAGTAGAGCTCTACACACATAACAACAGTGAGTGTTGGTGCAAAATAACTATTAGTCAATTGTCTAGTGATGTGAGTTTAACAGGACAATTTGAAAATATCCCAAGTGTGAACAAAATCAGTAATTCAACTTCTGTGATTTAGTTATTAAAGCCACTAAAAATGACAAAGTCGACTCATTTATAATTCCTGTCATTCCAATGAACTTGAATTCTTTTTCAGGGATGAAACTTTTTTAATATATATAGTTTTTTAATATCTGGAAGAGAGTCGTATGAAATGCACGGGTTTTTAACAACTGCATGTTTAGTGCCATTTGAGTGCCTTAAATTGAAGATGCAAGGCATATAGAACCCCATGAAGATTCATTATATAAAAGAAATTGTCTGCAACTCATGTTGCAAAACTTTATGCAGTGAGTGTCAAGAACTGCAACTTCTGCCAATCTGCCCAGGGAAGGATTGTATGAAGCCCACTCTATTTATTCCAGCAAAGTTATAAAATGTGTAATTTAGAAGTTAATTATCTGTTAAGGGCTGAAAATGCTAAATATTTCCCAGGCCCAAGATAAAACCCTGGCTTTTTATGGATTTGACATAGTCTTCAGCAGAGCAAAGCATCTGTAGGCAGTGTAGATATTTGGGACAACATACATAAAAACAAACCCAGGAGAATCAAAGCTAGGTTACTTTTAAACTCAGCCCAGTTTACTTTTGACTTTTGTCTTCAGAAGAGCAGTTATTTGAGCAAGAACTGCAAAACTAATCCAACCACAAGAAACATGATACGTGTATATGGGGGAAGTAGAAGTAAGGTGCGAGAGAAATTTGTTCTGGGAGAGAGCACTTAGGGTTAAGAACTGGAAAACTAAGAAAAATTCTTGATGTTGTAGGTGATTCATAGCTAAAAAATTAATAGCAGAGAGGAAAGCCAGATTCATGATAGCTTAATGTGCAAGGAGGTCTATAATGATGGTAATCATACTACCTACAATGGAAGTAAAAAGACACAAATAATATATGTTTTATATCCTGATAGATGATACCACCAGGAGATTATTTTTTAGCTCTTGCTTTAATATACTTATAACTTTCTGAAACCTTCTTTTTTTGCAGGCTATATTTTTCCATGGCTTTTCTTTGACTTAAGACTTGAGTTTGTTTGGGTTTCTGAAGATTTCAAGTAAGAACTACGTGGGCCATTTTTAAGCTCTTGGATAGTGAAAATAAAAAGCTTTTTCCCAGGGTGAAAGAAGAATTTCTGGCATCTTAACGTTTTCTGTACCCAAGAGGTGGCTTCAGTGGGAAAACAGCATTTGCCACGGAAATTGTCCTTACTGAGGTATGAAGCTTTCAACATTCCAGTGGAATTTTGTTTTGATTTGATTTCAAATCACTTTGTAAGCTTTTGCCATACATTGGTCACAGGGCTTTTTTCTGCACTTTTAAAGCATAAAGGAAAGGGAGCCTGAACTGCATATGTATTAGTGGTTGATATTGGCCTGAGCCATATGGTGACCAGATATTTATCCTGTGGATTGCTGTCTATCTCTGGGCTCACAGCTCCCCTCCCTTCCAGAGAAAGCAGAAGTTACTTTGGGAGTGTCTACACTGCCCTGTTTATACAACTATGCCCTTGTCTGCTGGCAGCAAACGCATCTGTGTTTGCACTGGAGCAGACAACCCCATCCAGTTTACTTCCTCCCTTGAAACAGTTTCTGTTCAGATATGAGCCTCTCCATCAAACCAGACCACTGCAAAAGTTCCAAAAGGTGATTTATTCCAACATCCTCCACCCCTTATGTCTAGCTTGTTCAAGAAAATGCAACAAAGATTTAGGTGCCCCATTTCTTATACATCACTCACTGCTAGCAGGCAGTGGGAGCGGTTTCTTCTGAGGATTCTGGACTGAAAATGCACTGTGCTGTAAAGAGGAAACAGCAGCAACTGCCCTTTGTTGGAAAGCTGGGATGCACTGGGATATGCAAGGTCATAGGACTGGAGCCTCACATCTTTACGAAAGCTGCAGGAAAACATACATATTTATAAATGTATGTGTATAAGTTGCACTGTTTCAGCATCTGTAGAAGTTTGAAAGATACTACTTTTGTTGAGTCTGTCCATGCAAAATTCTCTTTTGACCTATTATATCCAAATTTGTCTTCTCTTGTTAGCAACTTTTATTGCCTAGGTAATTTATATCCTGTTCTTTTCTATTCTATTCTATTACCTTCCAATCTAATCCAATCCATCCCTGTTCTAGTTCTTTTACCTCATCCTGCAAGAATCAGGATGCCTTTTCTCAGTACACTAAATGATACAATATCTATCTCATTTCTCTGTTTTCTCTTTTCTATCAGTAAAGCATTTTAATGTGTTCACTATCCAAAGCACCTTGCAACTCACACCTTGAGCTTACAGTCTGTAACTTCTTGAGGAGTTTTTTGAGTGCTTATATGAGCCCCCAAGAGAGGTGAAGGGGCTGCACTGCATTTGGCACTGTAACTGCAGCTTTAAATTAGCTGCTTATAGCCACCAGCATTCATCACCTAACACTTTATTTTTCAGATATGAGATCAATATTGGTGTGACTTCAGTATACAGTTCAGATATGTCTGCATGAGCAGCCATCATTCCTTGCTGAAGTAAGAAACTCCTGCAAAAAGCCTTTCTGTTGCACAGATGAACTTTAGCAATGTTTTGCCCAATGACTGGATTTGTTGACCAGTCTTCATCTCAGAGCTTTGAGCTATACTGGTTTGTGCTATTAATTATCAGAAGAACTAGAGCTGCAGCAAACCTGAGCCAGCTTTGTATGGCAAACAAGGAGAGAGGGTGGTGGACCAAAGGTAGGCTCAATGTAGTATGATTTAACTGCTGTAGGTTTCATGTTGACTAAATAGGAAGTTGAATGTGAATGTATTACTAACTTGGCCTAATATGGTGAAGAGGATATAGTCTCATTTCTGCCTTGTGTAACTCTTCTGAAGTCAGTAGTTGCTTCAGAAACACGTTTCCTACCCTGTTCTCCCATTTTGATGGTACGCACCTTTTAAAAATGCACACTCCATGACCTAAAAACCCTAGATGACCTTTCACTTTATTGCAAGCTCTTCCACTTTTGTTTTTTCTTAGGTTTTCATGAGAGGATGGGAGTAACCATGGCTGTTCAGAGATGGCTGAGCTAACACTTGCTGAGTATTCCATTGTTCTTCTGCTCTTGCTGTTTGCTCGCTTCCTGAAATAGGCACTACTGAAACCTCTCAGAATTCAGTCTTGTTACTCTAATGTACCTGAATGCTATTTACATGATAAACACTATTTATGTGTTTATAAACACATTTAATGTACTTTTTATAAGGTATGGTATAATATTTTTTGGGGAAGCCAATGGAATAATTCTACAGTTTACTGCATGTCTGTGTTTAATAGGAAATTGCAATGCCTACCAAACAATCAGCTTTTAGGTAAGTGTCAATTTGTCTTACTTGTTTCACACTAAAAGCAACAGCATTTAGATATCTTATAAAATAGGCAAGACAACATGGATAGGAGGACTATGATTCCTTTTTTATTAAGTTCGCTCTGGGGCTGCCAACATAAGAAGAACATGGACCTGCTTGAGCGAGTCCAGAGGATGGCTATGGAGATGATCAGAGGGCAGGAGCACCTCTCCTATGAAGACAGGATGAGAGAGCTGGGGCTGTTCAGCCTGGAGAAGGCTCACAGGAGACCTTAGGGCAGCTTCCAATAATTAAAAAGGGCCTACAGAAAATCTGGAGAGGGACTTTTTACAAGGGCCTGTAAGGACAGGACAAGGGGGAATGGCTTTTAGCTGACAGAGGGGAGATTAGATATTAGGAAAAAATTCTTTACTGTGAGGGTGGTGAGTCACTGGAAGAGGTACCCAGAGAAGTTGTGGCTGCCCATTCCTGGAAGTGTTCATTGGTTGGATGGGGTTTTGAGCAACCTGATCCAGTGGAAGGTGTCCCTGCCCATGGCAGGGCAGTTGGAACGAGATGATCTTTGAAGTCTCTTCCAACCCAAACCATTCTATTATTCTATGAGAATGGGCTTCAAGATCCAAGCACGTGAATGAGCATTCACTGGATTAGCAACTATTACATTACACTCTCAAGTTACAACGTGATGGTTTATCACACCAGATGCTTAACACATACCTGCTTTTAAAATTAGAATTGATTTCCCTTTTTGCTCTTTGTAGCCAAAGCCTCCCTTTCACGCTTTCTAAGCAGTGCTCAGTTTCCTAGATAGTGGGGGAAAGTACCTCCCACACAAATTCTGTTCTATTTGAGACAGACAGACAAGCACTTTTAATCCACCATGGTCATGAGAAAGGCCCAGTCTGACAGACTTATTTGAAACACACAGAGTTTGCTCACAGCTGAACAGAAACACAGCAGTCTCCCTTACCACAAACAGTGGAAGAGGCATTCTGGAGTACCAGTCTAGGGGCAAGATCCTTCACTAGAAAATAAACACGTGAACCTGAGTCTGTCTGACGCCCAGCTCTTGTATCTCTGTGAATTCTCCCAGTTGCCAAGCTAATGGATGGTGCTTCTCTCTACTTACTGTGTTGAACCTGGGCCACTGTAAAAAAACCCAGAGTAATGCAAAGATGTGAAAGGCAAGTGAGAGTAAGACCCGTGCACCTTAGTTGCAGGGAGACCTGGAAAGGATGGAAGAAAGCTTTGCATTTCCATGAGTACCTACATGCTTCCCCACAGATACTGGATAAAACACATAAGCAGCACCTGGAGCATGGCTCAGGACTTGTGTCACTACAGGGTGACCCTGCCCTGAGCTGCAGATTTGGGCTTCTTCCTCCTTACTCTATTACAGGCCTCATGAATTTTGCATTCTTCGCAGCTAGGTGTTTCAAATCATCCCACTGAGGCCTGGCTTCATCCCTGCCTGTGTTTTAACATCTGAACCCAGTCTCTGTATCTGTAATGATTTTTATCTTGCTTAATATGAGGAGCGTAAGAAGCATTTTCTTTATAAGAAGCGTTTTCTTTGTATTTTAGGAATTACTTTCTGCATCACACATGAAACGATCCCAAGCCTACACCCTGTAACTTTTGCGGAGTATATGAGATGTTCTCTTCGGACTGTGGTTGCTGAAATGGAACATCTGCATTTCCAAGAGCGACCAAACCCTCCAAATCAAAGGGCTGTGGTAACAGCCAGCACAAAACAAGTGAAAGTAAACATGAGTGTAATGTTGTTGTAGCATGTATTTTTGCTTTAACTGTACATACTTCTTATTAGAAAACAAAAACAAAAACAAAAGATGCAGGCAGCTGTGGACAAGACAAAGCAGAATGCTGTTTCTTTTTTTCTCTCTGACTAAAACAAGATCGCAAGGAGTGAATATCCAGGATCGAACAGCACTTGGCTATAGATCATTTGGTTCTTAACCTTGACATTGAAAATAACTCAAAATGCTAGTGATTCAGGTCTGCTATTGGCAGCTGTTCAGCAAACATAGATTAATGACTCGACATTCTGTGTATAATTTTTAGTCATCTTTGTAAAAATGCCATTGCCATTTCTGGAACTGCAGTGGAAGTCAATGAAGTGAATCAGTACAGTGTCCTCTGCCCGATATGATTTGAAATCATTAGTTCCGTGGAGTTCCCTCACTGGAAGAAACAATCCCTACTGCAGTCCCAGAGTAACTTTAAACTGGAAACACCTGTATGCAAAGATACGCTGTATAGGTTACACGTTTAACGCTGCATCTAACCTTTAAAAGTTAGGTGTGCTACCTTGCACATGGCTCTTACTAGGTCATCAGCTGGGCTGCTCTGAGTTTGTGCTGTTGGGAAGCCGGCCTCTCTGGAGGTCAACTTCTCCAGCCCTCCATGCTCAAGCAAAGCTACCCACAGCCGGCTGCTCACTGTCCAACGGATTTAGAAGATCCCCAGGGATGCTCCACAGACATTCCCCGAGCTGGGTCACCCCACAGGCACCTGCCCCCTCCTTGCGGCCAGCAGATCCCCGCGCTGTTTCCCTCAGAGGAAGGCGCGGGCAGCTCTGCGGTGCCTTCAGGGAGCCAGGGCAGGCGTTCGGCGGGCAACATCGTCCCCTGGGGGCGCAGCGGCCGCTTTCCCTGAGGGAAGCCACCGCCGCTCGCACCTCCTCCCGCCGGCACCATCGTGTGCATCGAGCACACGGACAACGGGTACGAGGGGCGCGCCTCGCCGCGCTCCCGGCACCGGCTGTCAAACCCGCCCCGGGGCCGGGGCCGTTGACGAGCGCGCGCCTCCTCACCCACCGCACGCTCGCTCCCGCCGCCCCGCCCTTTTCCCTTCCCGGGTCTGGCAGGAGTGGCGCGCGCGCGCCCCCTCCGACCGTTGAAGCGGGGAATAGGGGCGGGAAGGGCGGGTGGGAGCCGAGCGGAGCGGCGGCCGCGCTCCCCCTCCTCGCGCGCATACCTTCTGCCCCCTCCCCCCCCTTCTCCCCGCCCCGCCCGCACAGGAGCCGTTCCCCCGGCACATGCGCACTACGCCGCCGATCCCATCCACCGCCTCCCCCCCCCCCCCCCCCCTCCCCCCGACGGTTCAAACAGGAAGGCGGACATGTTGGTGTCTTTCCTCACAGCAGGTTTCCTCGCAGTCGTCGCGGCCGGACCTTACGCTCTCCCCTCCCCTTAAGCCACCTCTTTTCCTCCTCCCTCTCGCGTTGCAGCCTCGGGTCGGTCCTGAAGTGGTCCGGGTTGCAGCTCCATACGTGAAGTGGAGGAGTGGAGCTGGGGACAGCGCAGCCGGCTTTGGCAGAGGCAGTGAGGAGCCGCCGGCGGCCGCGCAGCGAGGAGAAGGAGAAGGAGAGGGAGAGGGGAAGAAAGATGCTGTCGCTCCGCCGTTGAAGGGACTCGCACCCTGTCCTCGGCGTGCGCTCGCAGCGGGGCCGGGGCGGCCTGTGCGCCCAGCTGGCAGCCCTGCGTTGCCCGCCCGCCCTCCCGCAGCAAGCAGGGCACAACCGAGGCGAGGGGCAGCCTGTCCCCCGCCCCGCCCTGGGATATCTGTGCCCATGGAAGGACCGACCCCACGTTGCTGAGACACGCCGCCGAGAGGATTTTCCTATTTCCCACCCTCATTTTGTTGCAGGTTTTTGCGGTTTTATATATTTTTCCGTTCTTTTTATTTTCTGTTGTTGTTGCTTTTTCATCTGGTTTTCTGCAAAGAAAGCTGTGTTTCGGAGCCTGCCACCGACCCGCCGCAGCTCCTGCACGGCTGGGAGGTGGGACCGCTACGCTGGCTCTCAGGGCGGCTTCCCCGGCTGGGAAAATGAGGTTGCCGAGACACTGGGGCCCGAGTAGAGGAGGGAGGGAAAGGAAACCTGCTGCTGCGGAGTTGTGAGCAGCCCAGGAAAGTGCGTGCGTGCGCGGAGGAGGGAGAAGAAGCAGCCTTATCCCCCCCTGCCGCGGACTGTCGTTCGGTTCTCTGCCCCTTTGGCGGGGCAGCGAGGGGGACAAGCCTCAGAGACTTCTGTGATTGAAGGGATTTTGCAGGAAGCTCTCCTCTGCCTGGTATAGGCTGTGTGGTTTCTCTTTTGTGCTCGCTTGTTCCTGTTTTTTTTTTTTTTTCATTATTTTTAACCTTACTTTGCTCTGGAATAAGGGAAACTTTTTATCTCTGGAAACATGTCGACGGGAGAAAGTTTTGAGTCTCGGTTTGAAAAAATCGACGTGACTTTAAAGGACCCCAAATCCGAAGTGAACGTGGACTGTTTGCTGGTGAGTAGGGAGCGCCGATGGGCCCCCGGTCCCGTGTCCCTGAATTTCTTACCCTGTGGGACCGAATCTCGTACTCCTGAGTCACCACCCTGCTTAACTCCGCACTGGTGTTGTGTTTACTCAGTGTTGAGCTGAGGGTGCGTGAATGTCTATGTGCAAGGAGAGCGGCTCTCTTGCCAAGGAGGCGCCCGCCCGGTCATGCCACAGACTTGTCATTTCTCTCGCTTCATGCATCTTTTTTTTTCTTCGCCTACTGTCATAAGGGGCGTTGGACACTTTATACAATGCGTAATTTGTGAGTGCCAGTCCTGCGTGTAAGCAGGAGACTGTAAATAGCTTTGATAATACCAATTCCCTCTTCAATATCTTTTTTTTCTTTTAGAGAGTGAGGTCCTCTTATGTTGTGGTTAAGCACTGCAGCACTGACTTCAGCCTGTTTAGCCTACATGTTTGCAAATGTTAATCAGTGACGTGTAAAATGCCGCTCTAAGATTAATATGCCTCAGATTAATAAGGTTAATAACAGGTGGGGAAGTAGTCATGGCAGGGGTTTGAATACATTTTAAACTAGTTGGTGTGCTAGGCCTGGGATAGAGGGCTGCTTGCTCATTGTTTCCCTACTTGATTATACCTGATGGTTGAATGGGTCTCTCCAGTGCTGTCGGTGTTATAATTGAATCATAAGAAAGCAAACCATAACACTTCCTGCCTGACATAAAACCAATGTTATTTGGTAGTTGCTTGACAAAAGTGTATGATATTTTAATTCTGATTACAAAAAGTACCTCAACAAAGTATATGTTAAATCCAGCCAATTTGTTTGGGATGTAGCTGGATACTTAGATATGCCTGGGGATGCCCCGAAGTAGTAGTAAATTGTAATTTGTGCTTTTATGCTGAAGTAGAGAATTTCTTTAATTTGTATCAAGTGATAAAAGTTCCTCAGTATATTTTTTTTTCCCCTGGCTTTCTGCTGTCAGAGAGGAGAGCAAGTAAATTGGGTTTGTTCCTAGTATGAACTCTGACATTTGGGTTTGGGGGGGGAAGGGAGGTGTGGGGGTGGAGGTGGCGCTTAATAGTCGTTCTTCATCTTCTGCTGCATGCCTCTTAGAAAGCTTGCTTGAGCATAAGGCAGTTGAGAGGTGAAAATAATCTAAAGAAAATCTGTACAAGTTCATGATGTTGTGCACTCTCTTTAGCTTATTACTGATTTATGACCTTCTGAAGTGTTGACAGGTCAAACCTACATCCCTGGATAAAAAGTGGATAAAAGCCGAGCCTTTGCTGCTACAAAGACAAATAGCATTGCATCTTCCAGTTAACTTGCTGCTTTTCATCCAGTTTTCATATCTGTCATCTCAGAACCACAGCTAGTGAGAAGACATCTGGTGCTTTGGATACAGTTTGCCAGTTTTGATTGTCAAATCTGACATTTTTGCACACAGTTTCTGTTGATTGGTGTCAAGAGTTTAGGTCCAGTTAAGAGTTTAGAGTTTTATGTTAACCAGGGCTGAGTTTGCTATTATGTGCTATAATGCTGGGCATACTATAGGGACCTTCACACAGTGATAGTAATCAGTTTATGACCCCTTTCAGTTACCTTAATTGTGATTTGGAGCTAAACTAGTCAGTTTGGGAATGAGCTTGTTGGGTTTCTTGTCACATTTGTGTGAAGCTTCAGAATGTGTGTTTGCATCTCAGATCTTTAGAATGTACTTTTAAAGTGAAATTATTCTTTTAAACTAATACCAATTAAAAAAGAAAGCACTTCTGAAGAAATCACCTGGTAGGTGAACTTTGTAGGTGGTAGGCTACTGTGTCAAGTTGTCAGCTATCCTGACTTTTTTTTTTCCTCACTCTCATCCTGAGTTGGTTCTTGAGTACTTTTCTATAGAATTTAGCTATCCTAACACTTTTTAAGGAATTTAAATGTTTCACACAAGTTCGTAGTGTGGTGATTCACACTTCAAACATCATTCTTGGCCCAGGGTACTATTTATATATCAAATACATTGTAATCTATGTGGATATGCTCTTAAGGAAGAAATGCCTAGGTGTAGGTGTAATTGATCTGCATTTAAAATATCTTCTAAGATGAACACCCATTCCCTTTCTCGCAGCCCCAGGTTAAAGAGGGAAACTTGTCGGGCTCTAGGCCTGGTACACTTGAAAATCCTTTTTTGTAAGACCTTTTAAACCTAAAACCCCTTTTTTGTCTTCTTAGAGTTGTGAATTGATGTTATTTATAATTCCTTTCACTTTTCCTAAGCAAAGGTGTTAGCTAACTGTGTGTATCTGATATCTGAGTGGTAGTATATGAATAACTGATACATAAACACTTTTAGTGCACACAGCTTTTGATATTCTATACATGTAGGTTTAAAATGCTGGAATTCTTTCAGGTTCAAGGAACATTTTTTTGGCTGTGCAAAGAAAAGTCTCAGTAATGCCCCGGCTTCTCTTAGGATGATTTTATCCTTGTTAGCTTTACTTCATTTTGCTTCAATTCTTACTTTTAATTCCCCATCAGTTTGTAGCCCCTGTAGACTGGAAGGCAGGCATGCAATAACTTTTAAATCAGTTTTGTAACCACTTTGGTTTTTGTACATGTCAGAAGCTAGGTCTGTATGCTAGAAAGATTCTAAATTTGTATGTGAAGTAGTCTGAACATGCTAGGAAGATGGGGGCTGGGGGAGGCGGGCTGATACAAAGGAAGCCGTATTACCGTTTCAGGAAGGTGTGGGAGAAGAGTGCTGACAACAGAGCAGGCGGAAAAGACACACTGAGGACTATATGACTTCAGTTTACATGCTACAGGAAGGAAATTCATAAAACTGAAGTGCAGGGGGAGATGTGTTTATTTTTCTTGTTTTCTCGTATGTAATTGTAATAAGAGCAGAGTAAGAAAACAGGCTAAGTTGCAACCCCTGTAACTAAATTTGTTTATTTCTTTGGGGCTTCCATGCACTCAATTTAGTACTAGGTTGGGAAATAATAGCTAGGCTGTCTTTTTTTCGTGAGCTATGAGGAGGCAAAAGCCTCTGTTCCGTGTAAACCATGTGCCACAGCTTCATATGTGCTTTTGCTCAAACTGTCAGGTTCTAAGAGTCCCACAGTCCTCAAAAGATCGAATAGCACTGGGAGGGCTGCATTAGGTAGCCACACTTTGGGTTGTGCAATGATCAGAGGCTGGTGAATGCTATAGTCATGCTAAGTAGAGCCAAAGGTAGCATAAGTAACTAGCTATAACTTGAGCTTAGTGTCTTGTTAATGATATTAAGCAGTGGAAATTAGTGTTCAGTGAGCATATGCTACAACAGTTTTGGAATAAAATCAGAT